AAAAAAGTCAAGGATGATAGGAGATAACAAACATGGTGAGAGATAACTTTTGCTTACAACATTCAGTAATAAATGTTAATATAGTACAGACTGGGCATAAGTCAGCAAAACACCATTAAAGACGACCAGCTGAAGTTCAAACCAGGCATCATGATGAGTAAATAAACTTAAGTGACTTTGAACGTGTGGTGTGGTTGTTAATGGGAGACCAGCTGGTCTGAGTATTTCAGAAACTGCTGACCTACTGGGATTTTCCCACACTGCAGAAAATGTTCAGAAAAGGAGAAACTATGCAGTGAGCAGCTGTTCTTTGGGTGAAAATGCTTGTGGTCAGAGGAGAGAGACCAGACAGCTACAAGAAATTATGTCAACATGAACCTAAATCTCTGAGCAATGTTTCCAGCACCTCGCTGAATCTATCCCATGATGAATTAAGTCAGATTAGAAGGTGTGCCTAATAAAGTGTTCGGTGAATGTATAAAGAACTTGCAAGCACAATACACTGAAAACTTTCACTAACCTCCTTGAAGGACTTTATTTTCCTGTGATAAAATTTCACTCCCCTTTTTTGCAACCTGCAAATAAAAACACTGTGCACTAGAAAACCTTTTATATTAAGTAGCATCAATGCTAAACACACAAGAACCTAATGAATACTACATGTTTATTACTCTTATTACTAATACATAATAGGATGAAGTCTCAAGTATACGTTACTCAGTATTGTGGGATCATTTCAGTCCACCAGGTACAGCATATATATCAGACAACATTATAAAATTGTAAACACGATATGGTCTTATGTTAAAGGTAAAATATAAAAACAACTGATCTCAAACACTGTCAAATACTTTGGGAATTTTAAAGCTAACTCAGGAGGTTGGACTAAATAAATCAATACTGATACAACATAAGAAGTCAGTTAGGTGATCACTCACCACTCCATAAGCCAAGGTAAGTATGTTTTACCCTCTATCATGAGAGCAGTGTTGAACCACCCACACCTGAACAAATGATAAGAAGCATATGTGTTTCACTAAAACTGCTGGTTGTGCAACATTGTCCATTCAATCACAAAAAATACTGGTAACTTTTAGTGGGAAGCTTGTAATACAGTGAAATTCACACATTTAGCATTTTTAAATTCATGTTTATCAAACTAAACATGATTTTATGTTATTTGAAACATGAGTCAACATCCTCAGTGTGACTTACAACCCTAACCCTGTCATGTGTTTTTATTCAAGATCAACACAAATGCCACATGTCGCAAAAAAAAAAAAATACAACTTAAAACTCATATATTCAAATTTAAATGTAATTTTTCCCTTTTTTAAAAAAAAAAATTGGTCATGTATTTAAATACACATTGCATTTTTTAATTTTAATTTTCTGGCAATTTTTTCATGGTTCAGACTTTATGGGGTCAAGTAGTTTCTTTAATTAATTACCACACATTCAAAGTCAACTTGTTCACACTGTATGTAAACAGCTGACTATGTGGCTAACTATTTGTTCATTTGTGTCTTGTCTTTCATTGGCGTTTTTCAGAAAGAGCTTACTTGTATCCAGGAAAAATCTGCAGCTCTCGCTCTGTGAGCTGCCTGAAGCCAAGAACGCTGTCCTTAAACGAGGGATCCTGCAACCAAAAACAAGCAACAGGCAGTGAGAGGGCAATCTTATGGGTTTCACAGTCACCAAATCACATTATTATAGAGGATGTATCCACTGTGAAACTTTGAGCTTCATGTGGCCAAACACTGATATTTTTTTTGTTTTTTTATCTTCAATAAAGAGATCTTCAACAGAGAAAGTTACTTAAGTGCATCTTGAAAACCCGCTTGTCTTTACCATGTTATATCTATTACTGGGCTGCTAATGCATGGGCTGCCTTGGTGATATCGAGTCAGCTGACTCTTCACTCTGGTTATGACTCCAACGCATGTCTGTGTCACACATTCCTCTCAGTGCTATTACATTATGAAAGTCAGTCATCTTGTGAACTACTTAGTAATAGCTTAATGCATACAAACTCCCTAAAGATTAGGAATCAAGTTGAAAGAAACATTTTTCTGTTGTCAGATTTCTCAGTACACACTCTCATAGAAATTAATATGTTAATAAGTGTTTCTGGGTTAGATGGGGTTTCATCAGCTCCTGGTTATTTACTAACTTCCTCAGCCACATTTGCTACAACTGAGGATAACCACATTTTTTTTATGAAGTGTCAAATTAACGTTGGGAATAAGCCCTGCCAACTAAACAGAGTTGCTCTATCGTGTATATTATTAATATTTGACGTCTTGCATAGATTGCAGTGAAACTTTATGGTACAATATTGGTTTTCGTTTTCCAACCAGTGATTGGAATTTCCTTAATATGGAACAATATAGGACATTTATGTGGTAACACTGAAGAATCACCATCAGTACCAGTACAGGCAGTTTTGGGGTTGACGTAATTACCCAGTTTCCTAAATAACACAGAATTAGCCTGATTGTACTTTGGATTATTTGGCTTCTCTAATGAGATACGAGCCATTTCCATTCATGACATATAGGCTTTCGATGTAGGCATGACTACAACTAAAAGAAATGTATGTTACTTCACTGGAAGTCGTTATTACTCGTGTGTTGCAAGAGAAAGCTCAATGAAATGCTTTCTGCTGCTAAGAGGGAGCAGATTTGTTGTAACACATGAAATTCACAAAAGAATTTCCAAAGTGCACTGAACCTGATTCTGGACATATTCTTGAGTTTTGCATCACTATTGTAACTCTGCATTGTGCCAACTTGGATTGGTTCTACGGCTTTCTATTTCTGTTTTGCTATGCTAAGCTTTTTGTTTCATTATAGAGTTAAGATAAAATAAGAATATGAAAACATAAGTGTTTTCAAGTCTTCCAGTTTCATCGCTTGACCTGTGAACTTTTAACCGGCACTAAAAAGAGCCCACTACATGATCTTACTTGCAAACATGCAGAAATCACTCAACAATACCAGTGCCGGCTAATATACAGTTGTGTTCTCAAGCTTACATCCACTCATCATGGGCAAAAATAAAACAAGAATTTGGTGCACAAGTTTGAATTCATTTAGGATTTCCTTTAATTCACACAGCATCAAAACTATACATATAGTCTCATATATATATATATATACACATTAGCCCCCACTGATTTTTGGTTAAATGTCCATTAGTAAGTGGCACCTCACCAGATGTTTTTGGTAGCCATCAACAAGCTTGTTTAAATTGGTTGGTTTTTGTAATGTTAGTCTGATTTATCCATTCCAAAAAAACAGTTTTGATGTGTGTTTGTGTTTGGGATCATCATCCTGTTGTAACACCCACATGTGTCCAAGATTCAACCACCTAGCTGTTGATTCAAGGTTTCAAGGATTCAAGTTAACGTATGTAAATACTTGAGTCTATGTTCAGTTTTGACTGTGTGCAGATTATAGAAAATCTCAAATAAATCCAAACTTGAGCACCCAATTTTTGTTTTTTAAAGTCATTAAAGATGCTTTACAATCATTCCGCACTAAAAAAGGAACAGTTGAAAGAAATCATTAAATGCCCAAATGCAAGCTTTCTTGTAATTTCTGTATTTTGTGTTTCTTTTTATCATCTGCTAATGTGGATCTCTGCAACTAACTGTTTTTTACCCAATTTAAACTTTTGGTAAAGCTGTGGTATGACAAGAATCTGATGAGTGTAAGTAAACTTCTGACCACATCTGTATAAGTCCATCTCCATTCGTGACTGTCAGACCACTCGAGCAGACAGCTGAATATTTCTATATTCCATTGTGGCGGAGGTGTGGTCCTGGGCGCGGCTGCAGGGGAGGAGTGGTGCGGTGAGCTCAACGGGGCGATGCTGGAAACACAGGTGAGAACAGCCGTTTTGGACTGATGATGCTTTCCTTCCCCTTTATAGTGAGACGGGAGAGGAGCGGAGGGGTGCGGGAGATCAGCTGTGACCGACAGCTGTCGGACTGTGGTCGGTCATCACAAACAACAATAAATAAACTTGGTGTCTGAAAACAAAGACCTGGGCGTGTGTGTGCCTGTGTGTGCCTGTGTGTAGTGCATTTCACATCCATATTTTCAGAACTGCAGTGTGACAGGGTCCTTACTACATACCGGAGGAGTTTACACGTGCATTCCTGAATGTTTTGTACGTACTATGGGATGTCATCCACTTTGTTACAAGAGTTCAGAATTTGCATATTTGTGCTTTCTTGTATTTCTAGAATAATTATACAGCTTCCACAGTCTTAATCATGTGCAAAGCAATTTTCCTGCAAGTTTTTCTCATTATTTGCTAGAAATGTCTGTGGCGTTAGTACACAGAATCCCAATTAACCCTGATTCTGAGCGTAAAGACAACCCTTAGTGGGGCCTCTCTCTTTACAGTTTCCAACCAGTGCATTCAACAATCATTTATGTGGCTGAACAAAGCTCTACTTCAGAGCAACTGGACTTTGTTTAGGGTAGATATTGCCCCGAAATGCAATAAATTTGTGAATGAGTTGCTTGATGTTGCACTTTAACTATATATACACACACACCTATGTTCTTGGCTGTAAAATAAGAATAAATCTTATCTTTGAGATAAAAAAAAAAGTGTAGTTCCAAAAAAAAGAAGCAGTACTCACTGGTGCAGGTTCACTGCAAAGGTTGTAGCCAGACTCAAGGAATATTCCCATTTTTATGGACTCAGATGACTTGAGAAAGCTGAGCAAGTAGTCGAATGTCTCTTTATTCCATTTTCTAAATGTCAAGGACACATATGGGAATAATGTAGCAATAGTAATGTTTGTAGATAAAAACTAAAATCTAAAGGAAAGTTAAATAAAACACACTCACGTCTCCTGAACGTTGCCCTTATCATACAGATAAGGCTGCCAGAAGCCAGCTGCTCCATCACTAGTGGTCAGTGGAGTGAACTTGTCTGCATACACCTCGATGGTCAGCGGACTGACAATAGAGTGATAGTGCTCATAGATGCTCTGAGCTGTTGACAGGCCAATCACTCCTGCCCCAATCACTGCCACCCGCATGTCTGCACTAACATGAGACACAGTGAGACTCACTAACCCATGAAGGAATCAAACATAGCAGCAGATTGAGTAAGACTGGATTAATTATTAACATTAAAACGATTTTCTTCTCTTTTTTTTGTCTATTTGCTCATCGTTGAGAATAAGTTATACGTTCATGAAATATTTAAATAAAATGTAAAATATTTCAACATTTTAAGTCAATCATTACATGTGCGTATGCAGTATCTATAACAGAAATTACAATAAAGACCTTAAACAACCTATCTCCACTGATCAAACCTGCTGTATAACTGAGGGGTGAGCCACAGCTGTGCAGAACTTGTGCTTCCACATGGTTATTATTAAGAGTACAGTATTACGTAACACTGTGATCTGGTGAGACAAAGAATCCATCTGGGAAGCAACAAGTTAGTTACTGAAACTTGAGTAAAAGCAGCATGGTTAGAGGGATCAGACGCACGTGCTGTCAGCATAGTCCACTTTATAGATTTCAGATAAGTTTCGCCTTACCTTCACTCTGGTTTTCCACCGCTTTGGGCAGAGTTAAAAAGCAAAAGTGTTTCAGCTCCGACTTCTAACTGGTCCGCCCCTCTCTCTTGCTAGCAAGGCAGATATTACAGGCACGTAGAGCGCAAGACGCGTTCACGGTGTATAGTTTAAACCGCAACTGAGAAAATGCTCTGTCGATCTCGCCTGATAATTAAAAGGACTGAAACTGGTAGCAGTCACAGTGTTGTCCAAAACTCTTGATCCTTACACAGAAATACAGCATATAAAACAAAAACATAGTTTTTGTTCCAACGAATCTGAAAGTCAGTATTTGCTATCACCACTTTTATTCTTCAACACAGTCGGAACTGTCTTGGTCAGTTTTCTTGTCATTTCTTTAATTAAGCTTCAGGAATAGTACTCCAGGCTTTTTGAAGGACATTCAAAGCTCTTCTTTGGATGTTGGCTGCCTTTTGTTGTGTTCTGTGTTTACATGATCCCACACTGCTTCAATAATGTTGAGGTCCGAGCTCCTGGGAGGCCAAACACTGACTGGTAGTGTTTTCTATCCCGGTCTTTTTTACTGCATTGGCAGTGTGTTTGGGATCATTGTCATTTCATTTCAAAAGCTTTAATGTGCTGAATTAAAATCAGAGATTTCGTTAATAATAAAAATGTTTAAAAAAAAACGGGCAGATTCTCTGGCAGGTTCTGTCCTGTTCTGCATATCCATCAGTATCAGAATAATCCACCGACAGTCAGAAATACATTACCTGGTGTAAGGCAAAAAGGATTCGTTAATAATCAGCAATAAAAATAAAATTGCCATTGCTGTCTCATGAAGCCACACCTCAACACAGATTGACTGGGACACACACACACACACACACACACACACGCACACACACACACACACACACACACACACGCAGAAGCAACACTTTAAGTATATTCAGATATGCCATTATATTGATTCATTATTATAAAAGCAGTCAGAACAGCAATAACAACAATAATAATAATAATTAAATTGTTATTGTACTTTGGGTCGCATTTTGCACATTATTATGAGACAAGTCACGCCTACTTCTGAACAAAATAGTAAAAACATATTTCAGACATTGCTTATTTTTCGTATATCTGTAAAGCTTTTTGAATAAATATTTCTTTCGCGATTTTTACATTTTGTTCCTACCCACGAGTGTGGTTTTACAAAGCCTTATTTGTGTTTTCTATCCTGTTGTAAATAGCCTGTTATGTAAACCTGAATTGCCTCGTTTAAAGGTCGCATACAAACAGGCTGCTGTACATGTCAGTTCCCGTGATGTCACTATTATTCATAGGTTTAGCAGTTATATTATGACTACATAATTACAAAAGAAGTGTCGCCGGGATGGATTGAAGGCATAACTTCCTTCACCGGGGGCCCAGCCTGAAAGGATAACTCGGCTCGGTTCCCTCCAATCATCAGTCTCTCTGTCAGCTGTATGTATCGTTAGCCCAGCAGCTAGCTGCAGCTCACCAGGCCAGAGCGGCCGGCCGGTGCATCATCATCCTCAGCTCCCAGCCATGGCGTTGGTTACTCTGCAGCGGTCCCCGACCCCGAGCGCCGCTTCCACCGCCAGCACAGCAACTACGACCGCGGGGGAGGTGAGTTTGGTGCCGAGTGAAGCAAAGCTTCAATGCTCCGTTGTGGTGGTGTCAGAGTGAGGATGAGGGAGATGCTGCCAGAGGAAGGCCTGCTGATTGAGGCTGAATTAGCTAGTTAGTTATGCTAGGCTGTTAGCTCATGGTAGCTAGCAAACGTTTTCGTTACAGAGAGTTGTAGCTGACTATCGCTTATTCCAATTAGTCTGTGAAATCTTTTTTTTGTTATTTAATAATATTAAAGAAACGCCACACCTGTTCAATTGGCCAGGTGTCAATTTTAAAGAGCTAACGTTAGCTTAGTTTGACAAGTGCCTCATAAATGATAAGAGCTGTGGCTAACATTAACGTTAGCTGTTTATGATGTGAGTGGCTGACATTAAAAATGAACGTTTTTCTTAAATATATCTAGCACACAGCACTGTCGGGGAGCTTAATGCACTGCTGTTATATTTGCATTAATTTACTAACACTAAAGCTGTGTGGATGTTTTGACTCGGCGGACTTGACCATAAAATATCTATTACAGAAATCAAATTGGAAACAGTTACACACAGATTATCGCTATTCTAATTTCCATTGTGCTGTGTTGTTGGTCGTGCGATTAAGCATGGGAAAATACCATATTTCTGGCAAACAGACACATATGACGACAACTGAAATTGTTAATACTTAACTGTAACAGTAGAGAGTCACGGTTTGAGTTTTCTGCATACTTTCACTGAGAAGAAGTAATGGTTTAAGCCATTCAAAATAAGTTCCCTTTGCTATTTAAGTAGTTATTCGTTACCAGATGGGGGCGCTAACTACCAGCTATAGGCAGAGAAGCTTACCTTGTGCTGCTCTCTGCCTGTAACAGAAACTACTATCTATAGCTGGCTTTATTTACAACCAGAAGTGTGTGAGCTGTGTTAGGTAAGGATAGGTTGAAATACTTCTTATTTCTACCTTATTTTGTACTCATAAATATGGTGACATGTTAGTTAGTGCAAGTAGATTGTCTTCTTTTTCTAAAGGGGATTTTTTTTGGTCCTGTCCCGTATGTCATTGTTGCCTGACGGCTGTTTAGGTGTGACAGATAAAGCTGGCAGAAATCTGCTGCAGCTATGATGTCATCTGCTCATGAGGGGTGGGTGGGGTGGAGGAGGACTACTGTAGGAAGGGGAGGAAGGAGAACTGAGGTAAACAGGGAGGCAGGAGACGCTGGTATGAAGGCATGAGGCAGCGAATATGTGAGGTTATTTTCATGCTTATGCACAATAATAAAGACACTCAGCTCGCTGTGCATTGCTTTGTGGAAGCCCGTGCAAAATGATTTCCTTCCATCCTCCCTACGAATGGTACTCCTCATTTTTATTTTTCCTTTTAGCTGAATGTTTGTTACATTCAGCATCAACTGAGTCCCATTGCCAGTACTTTAATGCACCTTCACTGTGACAAGAAAAATCGTCTTTGGAACAACATGTTTCAAAATATTGATAAACTTTAGAGTCTTATCTACTCTTACACCTTGTAAGCTTCTCTTGGTGGTGTGGCTGCCTTTAAAATGAATGTAAAACATGTACCTTGACTACCCTGGCATTTACTTCAGAGTCATGTTTTCAATCAAACTCTACCCTAGCATCCCTACAATCCTGCTGTGGTGAGCCATTATTGATACGGTTAAGAATAGGTGTTTGAAGTTGTACAGCTTTCTTACAGATCATTTGATCACACGAGTGGCTGTAGTGGTGGTGACCCTAGAAAGTATGCTTTATATCAAAATTTAGTATCTCTATGTTCATCTTCCAAAATGTAGATGCTGAATGTATAGCACCTGCATTGCTGCTTGTTTTTTCGCATACATTTATCAGAGTTTGTGCTTAGTAAAATACAGGCAAGACTATAGTTCTGCTATAGCACTAACAGTGCAGTTGAAATGATTTCAGTATGGTATAAATTTTTTCTGTTATCTCTGTTTCAGGATTTTGGGAGTGAAGATGAACGGCGAGTAAATCTGAGGTAAGTTTACTTCAAATTTAGCTTAAGCTTTCTTTGATATGGTACCACACAGGTGTTATCAACTGACTGTCTGCATCTGCCTTTGAGTCATTTAGTAAAACCTGGAATATTGGCAAACAAGGTGCTATCGGTGAATGAGCACACCTGATTGTCAGGGTCATAAAAAGTGTGTGGGTGTGTGTCTGACTAAAGTCTACAGTTCTTAAAAGCCAACTGTAAAAAAACAAAAATAACATGCTGTTCCTAGTAGTCTATCATGTAATATGTTGACAATTATGTCTGTTTATTTATCAGCACTTAGACCGATCAACGTGTTCTTGGACGGCACATCATTATCTGAGTCACTTGGCGTTGCCACAGCTTTTCTTTTTTTGCTGTTTAACAGACTGTGTGTGTGTGTGTGTGTGTGTGGCATAGATTGGGGAAAAAAAAACGTAACATTTAGGATTTGATCTTTTTACTTATTAAAAACACACAATATCAGCATTTTTTAAAGTATTTGACAGCAAGCAAATTATTAAGCAGTGTTTAATGAGTGTAGATAAAAAAAAAAAAAAAATGCTTACTGATTCTCTAGTCTGTTCGGATGGATGTGTCATGTACACTCAGTAGCCACTTTGTTAGTTGCCATTACTGTGCCAGTACCAGGTTGGAGAACTGTCTTAATTCTACATGGCACAGATTCAGCAAGGTGCTGAAAACATTCCTCAGAGACTTTGGTCCACACTGGCATCATCACACAGTTGATGATGATTTGTTGGCACAGTCATGACGTGAATTTCCTGTTCCACCACATCTCAAAGGTGCTCAGTTGGATTAAGATCTAGTGACACTGTAAGCCATTTGAGCACAGTGAACTCATTGTCATTTTAAAGAAACCAGTTTGAGACTTTTTGAGCTTCATGACATGGTGTGTTATTCTGATGCAAGCAGCCATCAGAAGATGGGAACAGTGTGGTCACAAAGGGATGGACATGGTCAGCATCCATACTCTGGTAAGCTGTGGCATTTAAACAATGCTCAGTGGACTAAGGAGCCCAAAGTGCTTAAAGATTGCACTACCAAAATTGAGGTCTAATTTTTGTAAGCCTGTAGATTCAGTTTCCTGTTCTTAGCTGTCAGAAGTGGCATCTGGTGTAGTCGTCTGCTGCTGTTGCTTATCTGCTTCAACGTTCAACGTGTTGTGCATTTGGAGATGCTCTTCTACATACTTTGGTTGCAGCAAGCGCTTTTTTTAGTTACTCTTCTTTTCTGTTGTATCAAAGCAGACTCGCCATTCTACTCTGGCATAAACAAGGCATTTTTGCTCAGACAGCTGTCGCTCACTAGTAAACCCTAAAGATGGCTGCGTGGGAAAATCCCAGTAGATCAGCAGTTTCTGAAATACTCTGACCAGCCTGCTTTCTTTCCATTTTGATGCTCAGTTTAAACTTTTACAGGTCATAGTAACTATGTCAGGTGTATCTAATAATGCATCATATATATTATGTCTTTATATTATGTAGGAATGTGAGAAATCTGACATGACTATAATGTACAGCAGCCATAATTGTTGTAATCTGTTCTTTTCAGTCTGAAGTGGTTTTCCCTTTGTGTTCCTGATCTCATAACAAGAACAAGAGTGCATTTTTAGAACAGTCAATGGTTTCAAGAAACCACTTGGCTCTAGAAACTTGTGTTTTGAGCATTCAAATTTGTGAATATTCCCAAGCTGAATATGTTTGGTTTGTTATCTTTGGATAAGGGATTCATGCATTACAAGTTCTATGACTCAGCTGTGTTCAGTAATAAACTCAGTTTTCCTCCAAAAGTTTGTTCTGAGTCCCGGGGGCAGCTTGAGAGAGAAAGAGGTGTGTTTTTTCAAAATAGAGTAATTGTCCCTTTATCGTGTGTTATTTTATTCTTTTTGTAACATTAATGCAAATGCACTGTTTTAGGCTCTTTGAGTTTATGTTGATGTAAATGTGTAAATATTTTAGACGGAGAAAACATGAAGCAATTTAAAAAAAAAAAAAAAGGATCTCAAAGCACAGGCAGACTTTTTATTTCACAACAAATCAATACAATAACTTTTGTAACAGCTTAGTCCCATGTACAAAATAAACTTGTCAAGACGGTGAAACAGAGAAAGCCGGTCTTTGTGTGTCACTAATATAGACAGACTTCTCTTTTCTCCTGTTGAAAGTTCTGTGTTCTCATAAACTTGATTCCCTGATTTCTTATTATTCACTTTGGATGATGTGTGCACATTCATCATTTTAAGAGCTTAGTTTCTTTTGGAGTAATGCAATCTTCTGTGCTGTGTCCCCAAGCAATGCATGTGTGAGGGAATGATCTATGTGTGATGCGAGTGCTGGCATGCCTCAAGATTTCTTTCATTTTTTGAGGAGTCTGTAAGATAACATTCTGTGGTTAAAATGCCAGTAAATTCATGTTTATAGTAAGTCGTAGTAAGTTGTCTTTTACTTGACAGGCACATTTCTCTTCAGATAAGACTGCTTATCTTCTGCGGTAGATATGTAGTTGCATCTGTTAATTGACAGCTGTGCATCTGCCAACTGGGAGTATTTGTGCTCGCTGTTCCTGGCCCACCTCGATAATGATGACGAATTGGAGGGGTTGATTTGGGCCAACATAAACATCATGCAGGTGTCTATGGCGCTAAACCAAGGAATGATTTCATTTTACCACCTTGTACACAGCAGAGGTGGGCAAGACACAGAATCGGACAAAAATGTGTGTTAATGTGTGCGTTAGAGAAAGAAAGCACAGCACAGATAGTGAGATGAAGGACTGGTAGATGAGGTTGTCCACAGGCACTAGTATACTTGTACGTTTATTGTCCAGAAAGTAAATACTTTTACTCTTTTTTTTTTTTTGGCAGAACAAACTACAGTAGAATCACCAGGTCCGGGTCTATTTTTCTCTGTAACACGATGACGTTATTTGTTTCCTGTTCAGGCCCTTCAAAACTCCACAGATACCTGAGGAGGTCTGTTCCTCCATGTCCGGCCCCTCCCTCTCTTTACTGCTTTCAGTGGTGTCAGTGAGAAAAATGCCAGCATTATGCAACTGACAGCCCCGAGAGGAGGCTTTTTTTCCCCTTATTGTGCTGCTGTGTGCAAAACACTCTAAGACTGTGGATAAACCCGCCTGGTTACAGCCTCTGTGTAGCCTCTTTGTGAGTGCTCAGTCTAGTCCAGAGTACCTTTCTAACATAGCAGCTCACCTGGTGACTCAGAGCAGTGCTTTAGCAGACATCTGGTCCTGCTTGGCCCCATTCAGGTCCACCTGGACACTTTTATAGGAACAGCCTACACCTTAATTAAATGACATGCCTTTATTCCTACCTGTTGCTTCTAAAGCTTGACCTTAAATGCAGAATAAGTTCCTATGTTCAGGTCTACGCTTCTGCTTCCTGCACCTGGCACATCAAGCTGTTTAGGGTTTCACCTGGACTGCCACAGAACAGTTTGTAGAGTACAGCACCTGCTAGTAACCACGGGTGTTACAGACGATGTCCCATTGTTGAGGAGAAAAGGAGGGCTATCTTGTTATCCGTGTCGCAGAGCTATTGTTAGTGTCTGTTAGCCAATCCTCTCAGATTAACACAGTTCTGCCGCTTCATTGTATACGTGTGGGGGGTTAAATGCTTGGTGAGAAAGAGAAAGTGCAAAGGAAAGTTATAGCCTAGGCTCCCATGTGGCTGCACGTTTCACCAATTGTTGTGAACTATAATGGCCTCATTGTATTTAATTTCAGTTCCATATTTTCCTTCTTTACCTGCATTTAAAAGCAATAGTCCTTGCTGACATATTAGACATAGAAGATATACTTGTTTTCACCTCCTGTAATCTGCAACAATATAACACAATGTTGTTTGTTTGTGGTTCATGTGAATGAGTGAGAACCAGCACTGGCCACTTTAAGGAAAGAGCCAAGATAATCCCTCCCTTATAAGCCTGCGTATAATGAGATTTAGGAGTTTTGGGACGTTGCCAGTTCTTACTGTCCTATCCAGCCATGCTTGGCCCATGTGTCAAGCAGCCTGGAGGAACTACCTTGGATTCTGTTGACCTATAATGTGGCATGGAGACATCCCATTAGGGAGTTTCAAGCCAAAATTCCTCTGTCTGCTTTTTTGTCTTTCAAGTGGTTTTGCTTTTCCCCTGCTTTTCTGTCGTTTTGCAGACATGGAGATAAATGTTTTGCATTAGCTAAGGAAGAAACCACCTCTCTTTAACTTTGTCATTCTCAGCTGACACAGATTTCATACTGGAGATCTGCACTTTGAGTGATACTGGAATATCTTAATTGTAACTGAGTTCAGTGTAACACTGCAAAAGTGTGCAATAGAGACAGGACAGACTGGGAGACGAGGGAGACTGGTTGTGTGAGCCTGAGGCAACGGGTGGAGGCTGCACTATGTCCCTGCAGGAAGAAGGCTGACTTGCACAAAGAGACGCTCACATGAGGGAGGAGGAGGAGGTGAAACGGAGGGAGTGGCATCTGAACAGGCGGCACTTCTCTACTGAGCAGCGCAGATGAGTACAGGCTGTCAGTCAGTCTGTCACTCAAGAGTGCTGTAGCCACCATTCTTCTCTTGCTTTGCTCCTTCGCTGTTTCTAGAGGCTGACCAAGAGGGGTTACCTCGTGCAGGAGACGCGTGTGTCTGGTTCGGGTTAACAGGATGTATCTGGTTGTAGAAGCCATTGAGGAGGCCATGATGAAGATGCTACCTTATTTTGTGAAGAATGCAGTGTTGACCCAGAGTGAGATAAACCGCATGTAAGTTAAGTTTAACTTCTAAATGGGATTTAAACAGCTAAGAATGAAATCCTTCACTGATAAGATAGTGGTTAGACTTTTAATTGGTTTTTGAAACAACTTGGTATATTCTAACTTTTAATAAAATCTGTCAGTATAAGTTGTTGAAGATTGGCTGGATTATATTCTCACAGATGCCGTGGCGTCTTTTCAGGTCAACAGACTAAGTTGGTTTTAGGACTTTTCCTGCTGATATGAGATAATGAACATCAGTTAAAAGGAGTTATACGATTCCAAAATCTTGGATTCACCATCATTCTGTTAGTAGCTGTGCTCTTGTGACCTTTTCACTGTGATCTTTTCACTATGATGTAAATAAGGTATGGGTACAGCACTCCACATTCTAGCTGAATCATTTTGGTTATCTGGCGAGCTTTTCTTTCATAGTCTTTTGTGGGGTTTTTTGTTTTTTTTTTTGTTTTACTTTGATACCAGATGTATTTTTAGCCATAGTGTTTGTGGAGAAGCTGATAGCAGGGTGCTGCAGGGTAAGAGACAGTAGGTTCAATTAGGATGTCTGAGTGTGATCGTGAAGCTGCGGGACAGCTCTTGATTTTACACGAGGACAACTTTCACAGATTCTCAAATTTCACCAGAGTGCACTTTTGGTTTTTGGTTTTTTTGCTAGAAGTTATCTAGTATCACAGGTTAAGATCAGTGAACTTACAGTTGGATTAAAACTTAGAAAATGAAGGCAGCATGGATTTTGTGCAAATTGCTGAGCAATAATGGGGCTGTTGCTCTGCTCTTGCTCTTGGTATTGCCACTTTTGGCACATATAGTCGTTCCCTGACAGTAGACCTTCCTGACAGCGTAATAAATCCCAAGCAGAGAACACAGTGAAACAAAAATCCTCCAAAGTGAGACAAAAAGCTCTTGTTGAGAGGTGTCCACCCCCATACTTTGTCACTGAAACTTTTTTGCTGTGCTGCTGGGGGCGGCCGGAGTTTATTGTGAGGTGTACAAAACGAAATCCTTTGTTCCCACAAAATCATCTGTTTTGAGCCAGGCCTGCTCTTGTGTATGTGGGTTGTGAAAGTATGATCAGAGAGGGCTGTTTGGGAGAGGAATTCCAAAGCTGGATATAAAAATGTGCAGTAGTTGATTTAATTCAGATGAGGACATTTATGATAATAATTCATATTTGAGTTTTTCTCTGAGGCAATTTAGGAGCTACTGCAGTAATCGGCAGTTTCCCCTGGAAGTGTGATTTGATCTCAGTTCTTTTCATTAAACTTGTGCAAACGTGAGATGCAAAATATTTTTTTCTTTTCTTTCATAATCATAAACTGATCCCAGTGTTGCTTTCTAAGTTCACACAACTTGAAAACAGTGATTTCCTGATGACCGTATTTACAGGCAGGCACTTCTTTAGTACATGCTAGGATTTTGTTTTTTCAAAGATGTCCTGGTTTGCCAGAGTGCACACACAGAATACGTGATGCGTGTGTTCCACGCAGCTGCCAGGTACTGTAGATTTATGAATGCGCTGACATTGTTTTTCAGTGAAATGGAATGATTGAATTCAGCCCGGAGGAAACACCTCACTTATTTCTTTCTTTTTTTCTTTCTTTTTTTTTTTTTTGCGCCTCCTTACTGTGGTTAGGCTTTGGATGTGTCGTCTGTTGACACGTCCAAAACCTAACCTTAAAAAATCATGGATTTTTACAAGCAGGTGTGACGTAGTAATTGCTGCTTTTCGGTCTTTGTGGAGGTTAAGCGCCGCAAACAGCTGCAGTTTGGTCAGTTATTTGGGCCTGTGCTGCATTATACCAAGACAGTGGAGTCCTGACAGGTCAAATCTGAGTGCAACAGAAAAAAGACAGATAAGCATTCAGGATCAAAGCTTGATTCATGGCGGCTGCAGACCTGACGTCTGGCCCTGTATCGTGGCAGCTGGGCTTTTCCACTCAGCTGTTGAGGTAATTCTCCCGCAGCAGACAACCAGGATTTATTGTCATCTCGTTGGATGTTTCCAACTGAACAGAAGCATCCTGTTAAAACAAAAAATTCATTTGTCTCGTGTCCCACTGTTTGGTTGAGTTTTCCAAAGAGCAACCTGACCTGTTGCTCTGCTGAGTTGTGGTTTACGCACAGTGTGTCTTTTCTAAAGATGTGTAACCCCTGACTTTCCTCTCATTTGTTTGCAGCCTGAGTGAGAGCTTCTTCATGGTGAAAGGTGCTGCTCTCTTTCTGCAGCAGGGAAGCAGTCACCAGGGCCAGAAAGCACATCCTCATCACAAACATGCAGGTGAGACACTACAATACCCACGTCATTCACCCAAACTGAACTCATGAGCTTGTGAATCTCTTCATTAGACTTCTCATCCAGGTTAGCTGGTAAACTTCCTAACACTGCAGCAGATGTTTACGGCTGAGGTGTGGAGAATGGAGGCTGCCTCGTTGATAAGCATGTTCCAGACGTGTAGCTTAGGCAGATTAGTGCTTAAATCCAGCGTATGTTAGCACTGTGGACAAAACTTCTGCTGACGATTAAAGGAGGGCCTTATCATTTGAACTACTTTGCTTGTGTTAACTTTACTGAGTAACTATAAACAGTTGTACTCAGATTTCCCTTTTGTGACTTTGTTTGGTAGTTTTTCATCATTTTAGCTCAAGCAAGATAAACAAAATTATTCAAGTTTAATTTTTTATGTGAAACCGAGTTTGTGGTTCTTTGTGTAAATGAATGCCACAATACCATGATATTGCAATAGAATAATGGAATTTGGATATTGTAGAAATAGAACCATTTTGCAAATTGCTTTAAGTCTCTCATTTATGGTTACACTCCTGTGAGGCCTGTTTGAACTTAAACTAGTGATTTATCTGTAATTGATTTTCTATTGATTAAAGTCAGAGGTTTCGTTACAAGTTAAACTGAACTTGCATATATCTTTAATCACTTTTGAAAGACACAATTATAACTTTAAAGACATAAGGCTTACGAGTCAGTCCAGTGACATGATGGGTCTTTAACACTAGCCAACAGTTGAAGCACTGCCAAGTCACTTGGCAAGTGCTGGCTGCGGCTGGCAGCTTGGTCTATGCTGCCGGCAGCTTGGTCTATGCTGCCAGCCACTTTGTCAGGTAACCCACATATTTGAAGGTCCTACTTTGTCCTCAAACACATTTTACTATGGAAATACTTGTGTAATTTCCCAGTAACTCTGGCCTTTAAGGGAAAAAAAGTGTAGAACAGTGAGAGGGATTCATGCAAAATGTGCATGAGAAGAAGGGAAGAACAACTGCTCTGTGGGAATAAAATATTTTGTTCTCATCAACCAGTTTTGTGGAAATAACCATGACATTAAAAATACAATGCTCTGCAATCTGGGAGACAATATTTATGTGGCTGTGACATGTTTGACTTTACATATGAGTGAACTGTTTTGTTGTTGTTAACTTCTCTCCAGGCTCAGTGGTTTAAGTGAAGACATTAAGTTGAACTAGTTTAAACTAGACTAACAAAACAATGAATACAGTGCATTTATGTGTTGAGTATGACTTGTAACTTGCAGCTGTTAGTGTTAGGAACTCACTTGACTTTGATCCACAGCATGTGAATAGTTTTCTGAGGATTTATTTCTAACAGCTATGAAGAATGAACCCAAAGCATAAACAGGATCTGTCAAATAACTTCAGAGTAATGTTTTAGTGCTGAAAACAATAACTTGGTGGAGGAGCTTTAGAATACCTTCAGTATAGTGTTGATCCTCCTTTTTTTTTTGTAGGTTTTAAATATAATGTATATAGTTTAAGCCTGGCCCAAAAATCAGAGCAGAGAAATGAAGTAACACGGCCAGAAAGAGTCTTTTGCTTTGTCTCATGCCAGTATCTGTAAGTTAAACCAGTCAGGATGTCAGTTTGTTTCTGCTGACCTGTTGTGACATATTTCAAAATAGCTGGCTCTCTATCAACTGCTGGTCCATCTTCACGCCCTGTTTTATTATCCAGCTCCACTGACATGTCTTGGCAGATAAATCACCGAGTGATATAAAAGGAGCCAAGACAAGTTCTTGAGTTGTTGTGGTTAGATAAATTTGTGCATGCAATTTTATTGTCAGTTCACGTTTTGTCAGCTGATAAGAATCACTGAGCAGGTGATCTGTTCATTTTTCCAGGAGCAGGTATTAGTTTTGGCCTTCATGTTAAACACTAGGGAGCAGCCTAATTTCACTTACCTTCAGTATCCTGCAGCAGTGCATTTAATAAGCCACTGTGCTTGCTTTTTATTCTCCTTATTGTTTTCAAACTACAAATGTGTGTATGGTGATGAACATTTATAATAACTGTCACCACCTCAACAGGTGACTTACCTCAACACCTGCAGGTGATGATAAACATTCTTCGATCAGAGGACAGAATCAAACTGGTAAGAGACAGCTTAAATCTGTTCATACATCTAGATGGAAATATGCACACACACACACACACACACACACTCAAACACACAGTGAGACCAGTGACTAACAAACCTTCCAGAATGCATTTTATTGTGTAATCAGGATGCTTATTTGCTCACTGTAATTATTAGCTCACAAGGGCAGGTTTGAACATACTCAGGAGAGCATTACAACATGTTTCCATAGCATAGGGGTGTATGTGTTACCCACTTTATGTTTACCAGCAATGTGCCCGCACACATCCTGAGCACTCAGCTACCCTGTTGCATCAAGCGTGCGACACTTTGTTGGACAGAAAAGCAGTTTACCAGAATTTTCTTGCTTCTCCTGTGCATTAGCTTTTATGTGCAATTGAAGTTTTCTGCCTGTGTGAAGGTAGTTAACACAATGTTTACATTTTAATTCTTATATAAATACTTAAATTAGTGTTTTGAAATTTTATAACCTGGATGAAACACTTTGAATTCCACTGTTTGTGTCTTGTGCAGGCGGTACGGCTGGAGAGTGCATGGTCAGATCGTGTGCGGTACATGGTGGTGGTGTACACCAGTGGGCGACAAGACACAGAGGAGAACATCCTTCTGGGAATCGACTTCACCAACAAAGACTGGTAAAATATGTAGAGTTTAATATTCTTTAAGGCTAAGCTCCATTTAAGGCTGGATATTTTTATTTACTTTGTGTTTATTCTGAACAAGACAGATGAAATAATTTATACAATATGTACTTGTGAATGTAGATAACACTCACCTGCACCACTCTGACTGAAGCTTAAAATATTTCCTTGTTTCTAGCAACACTCAAGCTCAAACCTTTGTACCTTAAAACAGTTGACATTTAAATGTTACCATTTCTCTGTTGGAGGCATGGAGTTACCTGTGAAACTAGTAGTTTTAAACAAAATACAAATTTCTTGTATTTCATTCTCTGATTAAAAGTCCATGTAGACATTGTTCTTTCATTCCCCTTTTTTTGCCTTTTTTATTCTATGTTTCCAGTAAAAGCTGTTCGATAGGCATGGTGCTACCTCTGTGGAGCGATACAAAGATCCACCTGGATGGAGATGGGTGAGTTTGGGTTGTTTTCTTTTTTCTTTTTTAAATTCTTTCTTTATGACCCTTGTTTTAAGGACAGAGGCCACAGCTGGAGCATTATCATGCTGCTTTTTTTTTTTTTTGCATCCATCCCTGACACTTTAGATGAACACATAGTAACCATCTGTTTTATTTGCTCCTCAGGGGTTTTACTGTGAACACGGCAGGACGGACTCATGTCTTCAAACCCGTGTCAGTGCAGGCTATGTGGTGAGTAATGATCAACCCCCGGAGTCACAGTGGCTGGCTGCTACAGTTCACTTTCATGGCACACAACAATAAATCCCCTAATAGACAGACTCTGCTGCAATGGTGCAGGCTGAGGCAGTGCTCAATCTGCCACCTACTGGCATAAAGACATAAGTGCACAAAAGTGCACAAGGCCAAACTGTAAACAACACAATCATGTGATTTTATTTTATTATTATTTTTTCATCATTAAAGAGAATCAAACTATCAATTCTTTATTTTCCTATTCAACAACCATCTAGGTCAGCCCTGCAGGTTCTGCACAAAGCATGTGAGGTTTCACGCAGGTATAACTACTTCCCTGGAGGAATGGCTCTCACCTGGATGGGCTACTATGAGAGCTGCATTGCTTCAGACCAGAGCTGCATCAACGAGTGGAACGCCATGAAGGACTTGGAGACCACACGACCAGACTCACCCACCATGTTTGTCGACAAGTCAGTAAACGCGGTCCAACTTTAGCTTTTGTTGAAATGGGTTCAGATTTTTTGGAGCAGCTGTCTTTAACAAGTGCTGAGAGTTTCATGAGACATCATCTTTTGCAGGCCTTCAGAGAGAGAGAGGACAGAGTGCCTTATTAAAGCGAAACTCAGAAGCATCATGACGTGCCAGGACCTTGAGAACGTCACCTCCAAACAGGTTTAAAAAGAAGTCATTTACTTTCTGTTTCATGTGGTTTAGTTTTGAAAGGCTTCCTTTAAATTTTATTTCTTAAAGGTTTATCATTATTTATGGAAATACTTGGGCACGCCTGTGCAAATTTCATGCTTTGGAAGTGAAAAGAACTACTAAGCAAACATCTAAACATGCATCCTACTTTTTTCTCATTAACTTAAATTATAGTATTTGGCTATCCTACCAAGTTAGTTGTTACTAACCCCTCTTTACACCATTTACCTTTTCTATTCTTGATTTAGGATTTTATTCACTTTTTACCCACTCTCCTTGCAGTATAGTAATGGTGTTCTGAGACATTTGCTTGTGCATAAAGTCTCCCTGCAGATTTTCTGTTTAGGAAACTCTGAATGCCACTCCATACACTTTGTGCATGTTGAGCTCTAGTTTGGATTTGTTTTTTACTTAAATTTGGTCACTGTAGTCTCTTCATCAACAAACTGATACAGTGAATCGGGCTTACCCAAGCGCAACGCTTTAGTCTTCTGTGATGAGGTTGCAGGTAGGATTTCCTTTTTAGATGTAGATCCCGTTTCTGCATCAGTGCTGCAGAGTGGAGAGGTGCAGTGCCACTTGTGTCAGCTAAACCTTCCTGCAGCTCCTTTGCAGTTATATGAAGGTCAATATTCTGCTTAGGTTTCACCCAGCAGATGGGCAGTTGTATCTGAAAGTATTAATAGTCTTTCAGATGTTGTCAATACCTCCATATTATTGCTTTAACTGCCATTTCTTAATGTAAATTTTTGACTGTCTAGCTTGCAAGATAAAATATGTTTTGAATAGCCCCTGTCCTTTGTTTTAATAGGTCACTTGATGAAATAAAAATCAATGCACTAACTTTTAAAAGAGATCACTTATATGTGTGTTTATTGCCCTTCACACATAAGTCATGCTGTGTGTTTTTTGTTCAGATCCGTACAGAGTTGGAGCAACACATGAACTGCAACCTTAAGGAATACAAAGAGTTCATTGATAATGAGATGCTGTTGATCCTGGGTCAGATGGACAAAGCCACCCTCATCTTTGACCATGTCTACCTGGTGGGAAAACTAATGCTGTCTCTTACATTGACAGAAACATCTGCTACATCTGTTGTTTCCTGCGAGTAGCTGAGATAAAATGATTCCTTTTCTGTTCTACCCCAAAGGAACATTAGTGTTAAAGTAATCTTGCCTTTAAAATTATTGTTTTGGAGAAAGAACAGTCTCCCGAAGATTTGAAAATATACCCAGTCTAAACATTATTTTCTCTCATTTTGTTTTTTAGGGCTCTGAATGGAATGCATCTAATTTGGAGGAGCTGCAAGAGTCAGGGTGATTTATTTTAGATAATAGAGAAGCTCAGATATCCACACAAAAAACATATTTTCATTATGATTTGAGCAAGAAAGAATGCTGTTGATGAGTTCATGTTATCTTTCCTCCCCAGGGTGGCCTATATACTCAATGTAACCCGAGAAATAGACAACTTCTTTCCAGGCACATTCAGTTATCACAACATACGCGTCTACGATGAAGAGGCCACCGACCTGCTTGCTCACTGGAACGACACATATAACTTCATTGTTAAAGCAAAGTGAGTCCTGAGTGGAACAGAAAACATGTTGATGATATAACTATCTGTATGTCATCATCACTAGAGACTTACTGTCAACAAAGCTAGTATTTTAGTGAAGTAACACATTGGTACATATAAATATACAGCTGAGGTCATAAATGACCCCACTCGGTTACTTCAAGGTTGTAGTACATACACTTACTCATTCATTTGGCACACGTTGCTAATACTAGGTCAGAGACCCCCTTTTGCAGTCAGACCTGCCTAAAATTCTTTATGCTGTAAATTCAACAAAGAAACATTCCTCAGAGATTTTGGTCCATATTGACATGATAGCATCACGCAGCAGATGATACAAATCGCCTGTTCCACCACAGCCCAAAGGTGCTCTCTTGGATTATCCTGCTGGAAGCAGCTGTCATAAGATGGCCCCACTGTTTTATGTAATACTCAGGTAGGCTGTGGAGTTTAGTGTTCGGCTGGTAGCAAATGTCCTTCATACTATTGCACCACCACCACAAGCCTGTCTGGCACAAACAACCATGCCATGTTCACTTAAACTGCCTTTCTCCCCAATGCTGATGCTCAGTTTAAACTTCAGCAGGTTGTCATGACCATGTCTAAATGACTAAAAGCCATTGAGGTGTTCCCATGTGATTGAATGTTTAGATATATGTGTTTTAAAAAGAAGTTGAACAGGTGTAGTTAATGAATGGCCCAGTGGCTCTGTTATGTAGCAGAAAAACAGAATTCCAGCTTAACTTCCTGCTTTAGGCATCATATTTTCTGACAACACTTGAACCAGCCAGGCAGGTTCTTGAAGTGCTGATTAACACAAAATTTGCTTTGGTAAAGTTCATACAGTGGGGAAATAAAGGAATCCACCAGTTTAAGTGTTGGGGGGGAGGTGCTCAAGTCCATAAGCTGAGGCCACAAGTGAAAAAGAGAGATTTTGGGAGTGAGAGAAGGAGAAGCAAGGAGAGAACAAAGTAAACAATTGAGAAAACAAACCTCACATCTGATTATTTTATCACGTGTGTGTTCCAAAATATTGCTTAATAAGTGTAAAACCGTTCCAGCATTTTCTGTTTTACTTTGGATCATCCCTTTCACAAAACAGCTGAATCGAGTAATAGAATTAGTCTGGTTTACTTATTAAGAAAATTAGTCCTCAGATGCCTCTTTTGTTTTTAATCTACTATCCAACCTCAACAGTTTTTCAGATGAGACAAAGGCAAATGTGGAAAAGGAAAGTTTGTAGTTTGGTATTTGGTTATTTTCATTGCTAATCGATGTTTATGTGTCTTTTATAAAAATGTGCATGTATTCCTTCCCACAGAAAGAACCGCTCCAAGTGTCTCGTCCACTGCAAGATGGGTGTCAGTCGGTCTGCCTCCACCGTCATAGCTTATGCCATGAAGGAGTACGGCTGGTCGCTAGAGAAAGCTTATAACTTTGTCAAGCAAAAGAGGAGCATCACGCGACCCAACCCAGCTTTCATGAGACAGCTGGCAGAATACGAAGGCATTTTGGATGCCAGGTATAATCCCTCAATTGATCTATGCATAAATTGTCTTCTCTTAGGTGAACTCTTTAAACTTTTTTAAACTTGTGTTTGGTCTCTCTCTGTTTTCAGTAAACAACGGCACAACAAGCTCTGGCATCCAGACGGAGACTGTGAGATGGCCGAGGGACAGCAGGGAATGGCTCAGTGCTGCAGAGGAGAAGAGGGAGGCATCCTGACTCCAGATCCAGGAATGTCTCCCTGCTGTGAGGAAGCACTATCTGATAAAGGTGCAGCGTGCCCCTCCCCATGCAGGACTGTTCCCCTGGAGAACGACCCAGCCTACAACAACTATTACTTCCGCCGTCTCTCTGACTCTGCGCTGGACAGTGAACCATCAACACCTGTGCGCGGCCCTCCCCTTCTCGGCATGGAGAAGGTCTTTATAGAAATTGAGGATGTGGAAAGGGATGCTCTGCTGGATGACGAGGCCTTTGATGGCCGTGAGGGCTTGCCGCTCCCCCACTTTGGGCCGACGGCAGAGGGGACTGCGGCCCAGACCTGCAGTCGCGGTCCAGAGCCCCTTGAGGAGCTGCGTCTGAGGCTGGAATTCAGCACAGTGGAGGAGGAGGATGAGGAGGACGTGCAAAAGGAGGAGGCAGAGATGGAGGTATTAATGCAGCCCGATGATGGAGGCGGTGGTGAAACGCAAGATGTCGAAGTAGAGGGTAATGGGATGGACCTGGCAAGTCTCAATGAAAATTCCAACAATAACAACCATTTCAGCACTCCACGCAACTACAATGTAAGTTTGAAAAATGAAGTTTAGCCAATATTTCAGACTGAAAATGCTAAATATTTGAATAAATAACTGTTGCTTGTTGCATTTGTTTTTCTGTGCCGTCTTTATTTAGGAAAAAGCTTCCTCCATCCTTCTTCCAGCCGATGCTTCTACGCCACTGCCTTGGTGTGATCAGACCAAGTCTTATCTGAAACAAGATTCTCCAAACTTGGCTTCTAAGCGTTGCCTTAACCTGACTCCTCCCGAAGTCCCAAGTGCTTCATTCCTACAGCCCCATACCTCATCTGAAGGCCTCAGATCCTCAGTGGGACTGCGGTGCCCCTGTGGGCCTCTGTGTGACTGTGCCAACTGTGCTGCTTCCCCAACCAAGGCTCCACTTGAAAGAGAGGAACGGCTTGGAGAATCACTGCAGTTAGTAGAGCCTGAGCATAATGGGGAGTTCTCTGAAGTAAAGACTGAGCTTGATGAGAGTCAGTCTGCTAGTGCCTCAGAGGCTCTCCCTGAGCTGATGAAGATTGATTCTGAGGAAGACAAGCCTGCAGTGGCTTGCTACCTTGGCCAACAACAGGAGACCCTTTTACAGCTGCGACAATCTGGGTTGGTCCGCCGCCGTGCAGAGAGACTAGAGAGACTTGCGGGTTTATCTCAGGAAAGCCTGAACTCTCTGAAGCCTTTGCACGGATGCCAAATGTCCCAAAAGAGTCCCTTTCAAACTGAGGAGGACGAGGAGTTCTCCGGCGACTTCGCTAAATCTTCAACGCCATGCCAAGTGCGGTTAGAGCCACTGGTGGTGCCACTGACCAATGAAGCCTTGTTGGGGGTGGTGGGGTCTGGGCTGCTTACACCCACCTCCTCGCCTCACGGCTCCACCTTGACACGCAGCTCCAGCAGCGACAGCCTGAGGAGCGTGAGGGGGAAGCCTGGCCTCGTACGTCAGAGGGCACAGGAGATCGAGACCCGCATGCGGCTAGCAGGCCTTACTGTGCCCTCGAGGCTGAAGCGGTCCAACTCGCTGGCCAAGTTGGGCAGCCTCAACCTGTCCTCCGAGGACCTGTGTTCAGTCTGCTCCTCAGATGCAGGAACACTCCTGCTCCTCTCACTGTCGCCAGAGCCAGACCCCAGCTTGGACTGGGACTCCCCGACCACCTCTGCGCTATCCCGGCCCCGCAAGGACTTGCACACTCCAGAGAGGGCACGACCAGGTGAACCTAGAAGCTGACAAATCAAGTGGAGGCTGTGTACGGTCCACTCATCCCCTCTTCTGTCACCCTGCGGGGCTGAAGAAGGTTGTACAGATTCTGGAAACGGGAAAGGGTAGAGTCTGAGAAAATAAAAAGAAAGCCAACTGTTGTTATAAGGAGTGTATGCTCTCCTTTGCCACATTGTTTCTCAAACTGCTGTTCACAGTGATGAAAGTCATATTGCTGTATCTGAGAAGTGTGTAAAGCCATCAGTTCACCTCTAAGTTGTTTGATTTATGGACAAACAAGTGCCTTACCTACGAGACCAGAGGCACAGAGCTGTGTGTTCGTCCGCAGAACGAGACGGTACGGTGATCTGTAACCTTTAATTTGGTGTCCACTGGCACTTATCTTATTTTTATCTGTCGGGTACAAAGTGGTAGCCTACATTGATGAACTTGATTCCCTCAAAGAGCTTCACATAAAGCAAACTGTTGAATAAACATAGAGTTGTTTACCACACGGTTTATGTTTAAGATGCTAGCGGGTTGTAAAAGTAATGGTTACCTCATGTTGTGTTCATGAAGCTTTTGCTCACATGAATGCCAAGCAAGAGTTTAAGTCAGTTCAGTTGCTGATGTCTAGTTAAAGTGAGGAAATCAGTTTGGTTTTTAAATCCATTTTAATGCAGAAGTGTACTGTGTTAATGCATTTACTATGTGTTAGTCCCTGAGTGAGTGAATGGGATGAGAGTAGAGAGAAGAGGTAACTTTTTGCCAGAGGCACGCTCACTGTTCTCAACAAACAGAAACATTTCTGAGTTTGTTGTTCCTTTGCACTGCTTTTTTATTGAGTGAATACTGGTACACAACAAGCTATCTTCCAAAATAACATTGGAGTAATGTTATTGACCTCATCATTCCCTACGATGTTCACTGTTCTTGGGAGAGCGGAGTGTGGAGTCACACTACATGGCTGAAAATCATAAAGCGTGACAGAAACTGGGGATTTATGACAGCTAAAGTTAGCTGAACATTCTTGACAAAACAATAGAAAACATTACAACATTCTTTACCTTAAAATTATTTAAGGGTTGCCAACATTTTTAGCTCACAACATTTTTTACTATTTTTTTTTCCAAAGGGAAAAAACAAAAGGGTTTTGGTGGTGGTGGGGTTTTTTTTAAGTTTTTAAATTTTGGCTGTCTTAAATTGGAAATGCCGTTGAAGCTGTATAAAACATGTGAATCATAACGTCAATCACGTACATATTTAAATGCTGTCACATATGTTTTGCACCTTTTGGGAGAAACAAAAGACTCGTTGGAGTCACCGGGCTCATAGCTGTTAAGCTTTTACACTCATATCATTAATGAGTTCTGAAGCTTTTGTCACACTGACGTGACAGCGATCACAGTAGGTTACTTCATGGTTTGGTAACCATTTTCTTTTTATATTTAAGTATGCAGTAATTTTTGTACTGTACATTGCTGTAGTTTGAATGCATATTGCACTTTTTATGTTGGTAAAGATACTGTACTGTATGTGTTAATTATGGAAATAAACATTTCTTTTACATAATTGCTTTTGCTCTTCCCTCTCTGAGCATAATTCTTTCAAAACTGAAGAGTTACTCAGGATTTCATAAAAGATCCAAACGTTGCAATTCGAGGTCAAATGCCAGAGGGGACCGACAGGAATCACAGTCGTCTCAAAACTGAGCCCCCAACAGTTAAGAACTGGTTCATGAAGATAAAGGAAATGGAAAAGTAACATACAAATTTCAAAAAGAAAGTACTGTGCAAACATCTCTCATTTGTTTATATTGTGATAGGAAATGGGTACAGTGATTGACTGAAATGTGCAAACATACATGGAAATACAGTCTATAAAGCAAAAATGGAGTTTGAATAATTCTAACCAGCTTTAAAGTTAATACTTGGTATGAACACATTTCTTATCATTTCAAGTCGTCTTTGTGTAAAAAGACTTGTCTATGTCTGTGTGACATTTTTCATAGATTCAACTAAAGTGGGAACAAATTTGCTGTTTTTGTGACAAGCTGCTAGTAATAAACTGCTGAAAAATACAATTAAAAATCATTTTTTCACCAAGTTGTTCTCAAGACCACTTTCAAAACAAGACAGCAAAGTTCTTCCTTGGAGGAAAAATATAACATTTTGAGCCATAATATACATGATTATCAGCTATGGTGACCCTGACAGGGTAACTTAATCCAACTTAATCTACAGATTCAAAACAACACGTACCTGTGGAATAAGTTTTTATTCCACTTTCTTTTGCATTTAAAAAACAAAATGTTTTTTTTTCTTTTCTTTTGTATTTTATTGTTTTGCGATTATTTCCGTTTCCTTGCATTTTATAACTCATTTTTTCTCTGTCGTTCCCAGTCAGTATCTCTATTTATTTATTTTTTTATTTTCAAATTACAAACAATGTGGATGGATGGCAAATGGAAAAATACGTTTTTGAGCTTATAATAAATAAAAGGTTTTAGTCTTTGAAATGTTTTGGTGAACACAAACAGCTCGAATAATCTTCATGAATGTTCGAACTGTCCGGCACAGATATTCAGACATAATAACGAAATACACGAATCCACTGTGATGGAGTGTGCGCCCTGACATTACATCATGATTGTGCCCTCATCTGTACGCTTTGGCAGAGGAAATATTTTCTAACAGCCAGGTTATATAACATCTGGCTTCCCGTCAGTGTTTGCATGACATCAGTGCATGAGTTAACTTACAGACTCCTGTTTCTCCAGGCCTGCGTGACCGTGTGTATGAATGCTGCTCCTGTGCACAGAATAGCGTGTGGTGAGGAAGTGAGGTGGCTAAGTTGCAGTTTTATATCATGTGTGTGTGTAAATAAAACCCATTTCTACTTGGACTGGTTTTTCAACGGATGTGAAATGAATGACTAGTCCCCTGATGTAACCTGTTAAACAGTTGTAAACGGGCGCATTAATCTGCTAAAAAAAAAAAAAAAAAAAAAGCCTGCTTCGAGTTAAACATCGCGTTAAACTAGTAACAGATTGGGTTTTTTTTTTTTGAGATTAGATTCAAAGTGACCTTTATAAACTCAAACACACCGGTTTATAAGAACACTGGCTGCCTGTCTGTCGGCACAGTAGCTTTCAGTAAGCAGCCGGTGGGTGTGGACGGGCCCCTCTTCCCCTTCGTGTGCCGGTGAATTCTTGGCTGCAGCACCTCCACTTTTGTTTTATTATCTGAGGACACATCCTGTTTGGGACGTTACTCCAGTAACCAAGCGCAAACAAAAGAAATGTCCAGAGCTGTTTTCAGATAATATCCCATTCCCCTGGGCATACAAATGCTCACGGTTTATCCCAGACACAACATAAAAAAACAACAACCCTGCTTTTCTTAACTGCTGGACAGAGGTGTAAAAAATGCTAAGCTCGTAACACTTGGGTAAGAGTCCGAGGAAGTTCAGATTCCCCCCCCCCACACACACACACACACACACACACACACATTTTTTTAAAAATTTATTTAAATTATAAAAAATGTTAACAAAAGTAAAACCACGAATCAACTTTTTTTTAAATCTCGCAGAAGGAGGGGCATAAAACGAAACCAAACTCAAGAAATGTACTCGGAGGAAAGAAGCGCACAAGGAAAAGCAATCACCAAATTAAAAGGGGAAGCGGCCATAATTAAGACACGACAAACAGAGGAAGACGCGAGGAAACACAGAAGACACGGACAAAAGGTAAACACTTAAAGAAAAAATACATGCAAGGATTTGGAATTAAATCTAAAAGAAAATTGTTTAAAAACCCAACAGCATTACACGTTTAATCCACGGCCTCAATTGGTTGGACGTTAACACAGTTAGCAAACGTAATCACCCTCCAAGTGGGTTGAAATGAGTAAAATAGCAACTGTGTCCTACAGTAGGCCTGTGTTTCACCCTGATCACACAGATTCATACTGAAGCACAAACTAAGTCATTTTCTATATTTGCTAGTGTGGCTTGTCTGCCTTGTGTCATGTCTTTGTTCTCACCTACTTGTATTTGCCATTTCCACTGAAGCTGTTGTTTTCAAATATACACAAACGGGCCACTTTATTAGTGACACCATGCTAGCACCAGGGTAGCCCCTCCCCCCCACAGGTTGTCTTAATTCTGCAAGATGCTCGAAACATTTCTCCGAGATTTTGGTGCATATTGACTCTCCTGTTGCATCACATCCCAAAGTGCTCTATTGGATTAAAATCTGGTGATTGTGAAGGCCATTTGAGTACAGTGAACTCACTGTCATGTTTAAGAAGTCAGTTTGAGCTTTGTGACATGACACGTTATCCACTGTGCTCATAAAATAATCGACATGGTTAGCAACGACATAACGGCAGCAGATATCAAAACTCATCAGGCCAGGAAGCATGTTGTCCAATTTTGGTGATCCTGTGTGAATTGCAGGCTCAGGCTCCTCTTCTTAGTTGGCAGGAGTTACATCTGGTGTGGACTTCCACTGGTTGAAGTTATACTTTGGTTGCAACCAGTGGTTAATTGATTTACCGTCTCCTCTGACCTCTGACATCAACAAGGCATTTTGAACCACACAACTGAGTTTTTGAAACTCTGGCACCAACAACAATATCACCTCTAAAGTCACTTAAATCGCCTTTCTTCCTGATTCTGATGCTCAGTTCAAACTTCAGCATGTTGTGTCTGCAAGCGATGTGATTTGCTGGTTAGATGTTTTCACTGAACAGGCATACCTAATGAAGTGGCCATTGAATATACATATCCATTGTTGCAATTACACAGTGCTGCTGACTGCCCTCCCACAGTGATGATCGATGATTTCTGTTTCTGATCTAATATTTCTGTTCTTCATAAACCGTGTGTCCAAACAGTGTTAGAGATATTTAATTTTACATCTCCAAGCAAAAAGTCCAAGTGCCCCCTGATCTTATTAGTCAAATGTGCTGTGACATCACATGGATGTAATATAAGGCTCCTATTGCTGGTTTATTTGAGGGAGGACCGATCATCACTAAACAACCAACAAAGAGCACTCTGTCAGTCCTGAGCGAGGAGCGATCGACTTGGCTACAACGTCTAACTGGTAAGTGTCAGCTGCAACATATAATAAGATATTTAATATTATGCCCAGTGTATTTTGGGAGCAGCAAGCCAGGCTTGTTGCTCTCTTGTGCTTATCAAGGCTTAGGGAAACAGTAAGTTGTGTATTTTTCCACATGCTGAAACTTTGGTTTGTGCCTCACTGGTTTTGAATTCCTGGATGTCTGAGTATGCTGGAGCAACAGAGCACATGGGGATCAAGTGATGGGCTTTGGGCATTCAGGAGGGATGAGACCGGATAATTCACGAATTGTTGTTAGCATGGATGAAATGCCTTAAGGGAAGGGGTTCCCTACAATGAGTGAGAGAGTAGGTGGAGGATAATCGGTGAATGTGAATTCCACTGAGCTACGACACTGGCTTCAACCTGACTAGGCCGCATGACGTGAAGGAAAGCAGACGTGTCACTTGTTTTCACTTGATGTCCTCACATCTCCTTCTGCCTTTTATGTGTGCTATCATGCACATCTGCACTCTTTCATTATCACAGCTTGTCCACAGAGTTATGCCACCATTGCCTTGTGATAGCATTAGCCCCTTTCAACATGTCTCTGGCCAGCATGCAGGCCTGTCAGATGATAAGACAAGAGCAGTCATATGTTGTCACACAGATGGGTGATGAGGCCGTAGACAGGAAACAGACTCCGTGTCCAGATCATTGTTCATTGTATTTAACCATTTTCTCTGCTTACTGCTGCAGTTTGGTGGGTAGTAACCCATTAAACAATTAGACACACTCATGGAAAGATTTATCTCTTCAGCGTAATTGTAATCCTCCCCCTCTTATGCTTGGCTTAATAATAGTTCATTTTACCTCCTCTTGCTAAGGCTGTAATATTTTCTGACCATTTATCTTCATAAGCAGCAATGACACCTCCATCATATTTGTAAGAGCAATAACTGCAGTCAGCTGTGGAGGATAATGTTTCTCTGGAGAAGCCTGCTGATATACAACACAGACCCTCAGTTAAATTAATATACACATCTCCCTACATTTAACATGCAGCACTGTGCTGAAGTCTCTAGCCACCCACCATATCTTTGTATTCTTCTGGGAAAACTGGAAATAGGTGGAGCAGTTTATTGAAACATCTGCAGAGCTGCACAGTATAAAAAGCAAAAAACAGTGTTTGTACAGTTTTATTGAGCTTGAAAGTCAATATCTGCTATGACCACCTTTATTCTTCAGTACGGCCTGAACTCTGAAGCTCTTCTTTCAATGTCTGTTGCTTTTTCTTCCGTTCTCTGTCAACATAATCTCACATGCTTTAATAATGTTGATGTCAGGGCTCTGGGGAGACCAATCCATGGCTGATAGTTTTCCACAATGTGTGTGTTTTTTGTTTTGTTTTTTTCTTTCTTCTATCCAGTAAAACTGTCAAGATGGAAAAATTAAGCTGTTGGCAGATGGTATTGTTTGGTGGATCAAAATCTGAAGATACTTTTGCATTCTTAATTTCATCAATTTTGACAAGATGTCCAGCACCAGTGACTGAAATGCAGCTGCAATCCATGGCAGAGCTCCGCCCATGTCTTACAGATAGCTGTAGACACTCACTGTTGTACCATGACTTGTAGATGCATCAACTAAAGGGCTGGACTCTATTTCTATTTTTTGAGGACGTGACTCTTAGATACTGCACATCTGCTGTTTCCTCAGATGTTTTTAAGCACACATTGCACACCATGCTGAGATATGCCAAGTTTTCAGCTAGTAGGTCTTTGAGAAATATTATTTAGTGCCTGATGAACTATGTAATCTTTAACATTTCTGCTAAATTCAGCTAAAGAAATGTGAACTAATTACATGCTTTTGAGACAGACTGCAAGTAACAGTTCATCATCTGTGATGCTCAAAAAAACAACAACAACAAACAAAAAAACCCCCGATTTATACATTTACTGGATTACTGATTGATCGAAAAACAAAGTATGAAAATTCACAGGAGAGCTCACTGCTTAATGTTGCAAATGTAATTTGACTTAAAGTCAAGCTGGCCCAGACATTGGAAGTGCATTAAATAGTCAACAGGGACTATACTATTGCAGTTAAAGTAATAAGGTGGGCAATTAACCACCTCCATGAAAATGGCCCGTGTGACTATGAGTGTTTGCAATGTGCTGCACAGTGTCTGCTCACTTCCTCCTCTGTTTTCACTGTTTTTGTTTATTTCAGTTTTCAGTGTGTGATTGAAGGAGGATTTGGTCGACTGTTGTGAGATTAACATCGTGTCTTTCTCCACAGACCATCATGGGACAGAATCTAGACAAAGTGGAAGGAGGAGGTTTCAGTGAAGGATCGGAGGAGACGAAGCCCAGCCATGACTCTGAATGTGTGGGCAGTCATGCAGGTGATGTCATAGAGGGAGAAACATTATGTGAAGACGAGGGCAGTAACACCGGGGTAAAGCCAGAGTTTCAGGATCAGGAGCCAACAACACCTTCTAGTAAGGAGCACATGAATGTGTGGGAGAGTTCTGCTGCTGCAAGAGAGGTGAGACAGGGAGGGGTTGCAGGAAAGGAGGAAGGAGGAGGAGGAGGGAGGACTGCTCCACTGGTCCCACATGAGACGGACAAGGACTGCAAGAGCAGTTTGAAAACTGTGGAAAGTGCAAGAGCTCGTAAGCGGTTCAGTCAGATCAAGAGTGAGAAAAAGATCACGATGGAGTATCCGGCAGAGGACACCTTACCACATGAGGAGAACCAAGGTGAAAACCCAGAGGACGCAAGCTCTTTTCACATCTCTGAACGGGGATCTATGATGCAGACGAGCAGCAGATGTGGAGCTCATGCAGGAAGTGAGTCTCTGCACTTTCAGGATCTGAATGAAACCATGATGCATAAAGTTGAGAATGAGGATATTAAGATTTGCGCGGGAACAGTGGGCCGCTTGAGTGAGGGGAAAGAACCGCCCCCACCTCAACCCCAGCATCCTTTGAAAAACAGCCTTCAGAGAGCGCCTTTATCAGACGTGAGTGATACCATTCACTGTAGACCTTCAAAGGAGAGCGCAGAAAATAAAACAAAACATGAAGCTGCCACCGATGACCAAAGAGAGTTGGCAAGGGCTTATTCACAAGTGGATACAGCTGACATGAATCCAGTTTCCACTGAACCCAGCTCTATTTTGGAGAAGCTGCTTAAGAGGAATAAAAAGGAGGCAACACCATCCCTTTCTAAAATAAAAGAAGTTCATACTGACTGCAAGGACACCTCAGATGTTCCTGTAGATGTAAGTGCAAAGGAGGTCCTTGACAGTTCAGCATTAGCATCACCTGGTGATTGGATTGATCTTTCAGAAAGTGATATAAAGGGGATTTTGTCCTCCTCTGCAGATGGGATACACAATAAGCATAAAGCAGAGTATGCAACAAAAGATTACACCAGTAAAGACCTGGATGTGAAACAAGCAGTCTCTACTCACAGTGCAGCTTCAGATTTGCTTTGTTTTGAGAGCTCATGCCCAAAATCACGTGATTTCAGAGCTGAAGACATAGACTCAACTGATGCTTCAAACAAGCAGGATGTGAAGATAAAGGCAGATATAGGCCTCTCTGAAGGTGTAGGCTTGGATGATTTACAATCAGCTGTTTCACATGAAAAAAGTGAAGTGAGCGGCAAGGAATCTGCACCTTCCTCTCTGTCTCCACCTACAAAGAATGATGGGCAAAAGACAGACACCAGTACTCTGAGACCTCCTCTGAAGATAAGAGGTGATGCTGAGAGCAAAAGCAACCCACAGTTATCTGACTCTGAAAAGGCAGATAGTCAGTCGGTCAGGAGAAACGAGTCCCTGAAGAAAACTGTTGCACTAGCTGCAGATGCTGGCTCAGCCTCGAGTTCAGGTGTTAAGGTTACCTCAGAGGAAATCCACCAAGTGTCAGTCAGCATGAGGAAGGATGCTCATATGACGCTTAACACAGAAAACAAGATTCCAGAAGATACTGCTAAAAAACCTGGCAAAGACGATGATGATGACTCCATCTCAGAGAGAAACAAGTCCCTGGGCACTCCCCGATCAAGGCCCGTCTCTGAACTCATAAAGGAGACAGTTCAGCTGCATGAAAAGCTGCAGCACCAGGAGCGGCCAAAGCTAGCTGAACTCAAGTCGGATGAGCAGAACCAGTCCGTGAAGGTGGCACAGATGAAGGCGGCTTTTGATTCTGCTCAGAAAACCCCCGAGAAGCCCATCGAGAGGAAGCCATCAATGAGAAAAGGTAAGTAATTTGAAATCTACACTGTAACATACATAGTACTTTGCAGAGTGTAAGGAGGCTAAATCTAAGCCTAAAATCAAAGATCTTTAAATATTAATGCAAATTGCTTTTCATACATGGCTTCATATGGGATAAATACGGGATGAATCAGAAATTAAATATTTGGTACTTACATTTGAAGCAGCACCACTTATTTTTGGTGTAGAGGTGCACTTTTTTTTTTTTTTTAAAGCCATCATTTGTTGCAGGACTGCTTATTACCCTGGTAATTTTTTAGAGGTCATCCTTCTTGTTGCAGAATGAACTGGGAACTGATTCAGCTGAGTATTGTGCAAAAAAACAGAACTAAATAAAAGACTAAGACTTTTGTGCAGTACTCCATTTACTGCAGCGTCAAATTAACTGGGAGTACCAGGATAGCAGGAAAATGAATCAATGTCCGTGTTTATTGAAGTTTTCCTGGCATATGAGCCCTAAAATGTTGGGAAAGGATGCCTGATAGACCACGGCTGTTTTCTAGTGTAGGGAATCTCTGGATTTGTGAAATACCGCCATCTCGTGGTGCTGTTTTACACTTGGGGTACATGTGTTCTTATGGAGATGTGAAATGTAATTTCAGTATCTACTAAGCAGGTGTTGGTATTTTTGCTTATTTATGTTGGAAAAAGCCTAAAAAATATAATCCAACTTTGTTAGCCAACTTAGCCACATGCCTTGTGTGTATATATCCTTCTAATAGTATCAGCCAGCTTGCCCCCACTCACTTACAACTGGATGTGCATGCAAAAAGCCAGACTATCCAGCTATTTTTGCCTCAGCCTTATGCCATATTATGAAATCCTCCTGGATCATGAAGGAGTTGCATTTGGCAGTTCATCTAAATGGGTAGTGAAATTGTGCTTTTTCTAAACATGTGGTTGTAGAAAAATATGTATATAATAACCAGTATGTAGTAAATGGATAACAGGAGGACATCACGGCGTGCAATAGAGATTAAAATGGTATGAAGCTGCCATAAGCACACAGTTTAGGAGTAATTTTCAGTAAGTGGGAACCTGAAGAAAGGAGGTGTGAGGTCTATGCTTGTGATTGGCTGTGGGCTGTGTCCTTCAAAGAAAGTAATCCACGCAGCGCTCGCCAAAGCAGCGGAGGGGCGGGGCCTGTGTCGGAGAGGGGAAAGAGCACACAGAGAGAGCGGCTCGTGTCAGCGCAGCAGCGGCTCCGGCAGAGGGAGGAGAAATCAGTTGGGATACGAGTTGGGTTGTGTGCTTTTTCATTCGGCTTTCGGAGATACTTGCATTTTCCTCTCAGAAGGTAGGTTAAAGATGATGTAGATTATTTAAGAATATTTCGTTTTTCTGCTTCGCTCTCTTAAATTGGTTGCGGCGATCTTCGTTTTCCCCCCTTCACCCAACTACAGCAGTCCAGACACGAAAGTGCATGCGCTAGCTAAAATGAATCGGGACAGTCTGTGTAATGGGAACATTTTTTTTTCTCGGTAAAGCTAGCACTAACCTTTAGCGCCAGTTAACTGACATTGCTGAAAAACTTTCTAGCCCATAGACAAAGATGATTTTTGTTCCTTTGGCTCTTGGGTTTAGAGGGAGGGAATGTGCCGTTTGTACGTTATGGATCGGGGTGGGGTAGCTAGCCATAGTGCGGCAGGAAAACTTATCTCCCAAACGGTAGACCCACATACGCCGAGGTGCAACCGCGCCCTGCCCCCTGGCATTCACTGCTGGCGTCATTGTAGTCTCTTTCAAACTGAACAATGGGCTCGAAAAAATATCCAAATGTTAAGTCTTTCATTCGCACATACAGTAAATTACCCTCTTCGAGTCCATTGTATTCACGCAAATGCTGCTAGGTTCAGAACTGACCCACTAACACAGTGTTATGGAAGGGAAATGGGAAGGAGTCAAAGCATGAAAGTGGATGCACCTCCCAGTTGCATAGATTACTGCGTCCCCCCTTCTTCCACCATCACCAAACCGCCTCTGCTTCATCATACGTGGAGAGCTGTATATTAAATGCAAGTGTTGTTTGGCTCGCAGTCAAAAACGGTTTATTGCCTCAATATCTTAATTAAACTGCCCACAACTGGACCACAGATGTAATTAAATGGGTGTTGCCATTAATGAATGAGGGTGTTTTTTGGGGGGTGGATAGGGACATAACTGCGTTTCACAAATGCTGCTTCTCAAGCCAAGATCTTTCTTTTTGACTTCATTATATGGCCAGTACATATTCAATAAACAGGTGCACTGAACAGAGAAAAGCAAACGCCTGAACTAGAGATGATTTGTTTTTGTTTTTTTTTTACTTGATAAAGTGACTGAAAGCAATCAAACCAATACCACCATTGGAAATGATTTATTACAATTGTTGACTCCAAATCTGAAGGTTTTATGGAGATAATTAAATACTCAGCGCTGTCTCCTTTATTCCCATTTGGCAGTCATAAGTAGTCTCTGTAAAGAGTCACTAGTGGCTGCATGAATTCCCAAACACTCTTTTGTGTAATCGCTGTGTCTGTGCGCCACCACTGGCTCATTTGCTTGTTTATGACAATAGGGTAGTTTGAATTGTAATGACTGTGGTTAGTGTGCCAAAAGGGCAGCATGACTTGCATACTTGGCCCCTGTCTTGAACTAGGTTACTCAGCTCCTATGTGTAATTAGCTCTGCAGTTGAAGGAGGGTCCCCCCTTCTCCCCATGTGCGAATCATGCTGGGGTCACAAAAGCAGGTGAAGGCTGACAGAGCGACCCAGAGGTCAGCAGTACTACAGCTCTACAGCTGTGTTAAGACTTGTTTGCCATTCCAGACACATCAACCTCTGCCTGTTGTGCTGCAGCACACGGTCTTGAGAAGTGGATAGCCTGTCTTCCTATGGCTGGGCTGAGAGAGGAAGTGGGTCAGGAAGCAGAGGGAAACTGAGCATAAGATGTGAGGGAGTGTTTGTTCCTATCAGCTGCTGCAAGGCGCTCTCGTGTGGGCTGTGGTGAACTTTCAAGTGAATTTCAAATATTGCGAATTACATGAAAGTAATATGGTATCCAGCATGTCCGTTACATTTATTTAATTAGTGTTGACTTCTTTAAATCAAGCACTTCCCATCTGGTGGATTTTTTTTCTTCTTTTTTCACAAGTAGTTGTGGCTTTTCAGGGAAATACAGAATAAGCACTTTCGGACTGAAGAAACCTTTACACGGTTCTTCTTTTTTGCTTGTCCAGAGGGCAGAAAGTAGGAAGTTTTAAGGTTATTAAAATCCCACTTGTGGAGTCTTTTTAGTGCCTGCATTAGGGTAGACAAACCTACTTTAAGCACAGGAAGACCAAAATAAACAAGCTAAAATGCAACAAGTCATACAAAAAACAGAAAAAGCCATTGCTTCCATTTCATCTAATCTTCTGTGGCATCCATACACTGCAGAAAGGTGTAGAGAGAAAATCATGAAACTGAAATAGGAAGCATATATTTTCCGTGGTATGACTTACTGGTAGCTGTCCCCGGCCAAGGACCAGCACATGCCACAAAATGTTATGTAGTAAATTTTCAGATCGGTTCTTAGATTAGATTATGGACCGCAGGCCTCTTTTGCAGTTTATCTTATCATGAAAACAATGCACCAAACACAGCGTCCTCTGTGTGCTCCTATTGGAGTACCCCCCCCTTTGCAAAACAAATCCTCTAGTTGGTGGACTAGTCCAAGACTTTGGCCTTATGTGTATGTTAGATGCTTGGACATCATCAGTGTCATGTGGAAAGAAGCTAAACATTGAGTCATCGATTTGGCCTCTGCATCAAAGACTCCATTCGCTTACATGCCTCTGTCCTGTCTATGCAAGATGTTATCTCAATTCCTACATAATCAATAAATTTCTTTTTTTTAAATCTGAGCACAGATACATGTGATTAACTACCTACTTAGTGCAGTCGTGCATTTGCTTGTTTAGACTGGACTAGTAGATAAGAAAAGGGACAGCTGGCTAAATCTATGCTGCTAATTGCGTTAGTCCCCATTGCTCAGACAAGTTGCGTCCATAACAAAGACCATGTTATGAAAACAAGCCAGTAGTCAGTTTGGCATCTAAATACCCTTTCTGTTTTGTCCTGATATGTTTGGCATAAAGTTTATTTTTTTTCTTGTGCTGAAGAATGAAGTTAAATCCGCAGTCCACTTTTTGTTAGTCATCTTCTTTACGTTTGTAATGAACTGTAGATGAGCAGTTCAAGCAGGTGCAGTCACACTAATACTGTTTTATCCATTGGTCTTTCCCACCACCACTTACAACATCTGTTGAAATGAAGTGGTGGTTTGTGCATTAGTCAGTGGGGGAGGGGAAGTATCTAATCAGGAAGAAGGAAGGAATATGCTTTGTACACTGAGGCGGTAATATTGAGCAGATTTTCTTTTCTGAGTTGAGGAATAAGCAGGTTTGACTTTTTGTCTGCTTTTCATTTGGCTTATCATGCAGATTGTCTCACGGGAAAAGGAAAATGTCCACACAGATAAATGTAATCCTACACACGAACACCAACACAAACTAGGGTTTTTCCTGTTGTGAGTAATTTTCTAAGACTTTAAAGTGGTTCCTGTTAAACCTTGACTTCTAAGTAGGATAAGAAGTTTGGGATTTAGTCCTTAAAGTCTTATAGAGCAGAAAGTGATAAAGAGTTTGGATGAAGGGCTAAGCCTGAGCACTTTGAGGCATGGCCAGTCTCACGTTGAACACGCGGACGTCTTCTGACACATTTGTTTCTTATGTCTGGCTTTAAGGAGTTGTTTTTTTTCTCTTATGAAACAAGGAAGTTGGAAAACAGCCAGTGTCAGTTTTTTCTTAAACATATTAAACATAGGATCTGAGGTATGTGATCGCAGCTAGCAATTAGTTCTGTGCTGCTCTTGGGTCGTAAATCTAAATATATTTCTATGGCTGAGCAATATGGAAAAAAATCTTGTCACGGTAATTCAAAAACGTTTTACAAAATAACACAAAATAATATCTTAAAAAGCAAAAAGATGGGTACCGTATCATTTCATTTTTTTCCAATTGTTTTTAATAGATTCAAGAACAGTACTGCTCCAGTGAAGTGGGCAGTGAGGCTCATATATGGCTCAGAGCACAAGTCTGGTTTGGTAGTGAAGTATGGCACAGCTGTTCAGATAGCTGGGAATGTGCTGTCTGAGAGAATTGTTTATGGCCAGTAGGTAGTAGGCATCGAGGGTTGGTTACTTAAATCCAACATTTTTGACTCCCTGTACTGGCGTCTACATGTTTTTACATGCCTTTGTGGAAAAAAGGTAGAGTATGCAGTGCAAGCTGCTCTGCTTCCTTGGCTACGTTCACACTGCAGGTCTTAATGCTCAATTCCGATTTTTTTTGATCAAGTCCGATTTTTTATTTTTTATTTTTTTTTGTCTGCTTGTTCACACTACAAATAAAATGCGACAGCAAATGCGCTCTAGTGTGAACGCTCAAAGCGGCCCGCATGCGCAAAAGAAGACGTCACACACAATGCGCTCTGTTTAGACCCAGAGCAAACAATATTGTTTGACTGATGGCCCTTAATATAAAGACTTCGGACTTTACGTTTCCCAATTTTTGCTTTAAGTTATTTTGTTATTTACATAATAATGTAGATAACCTAATAATGATCCTTATTGCTGTTTTAGAGGAGCGGTGCTTCAAAGGATAGTTGCAGTCAGAATCTGCAGATTATACAGTACAAATAAAATGTTCACGTTTCTCCAACGTTGTCTTCCCAACAGTTACACTGGATGGCCAGGAAGCGTTCACGATGTCTTCTCCGGCGTTTCTCCGGCGCTGATAATTGGCACCTGTCTTGTGTCAGTGACGTAAAAGACGGATTTAATGCGACCGTTCAAACAGCAGTCGCTTTCTAAAACATCGGATATGTATCGGATTCAGTACCACATACGAAAGTGACCCAGATCGGATTTGAAAATATCGGATTTGTGTCGCTCACACTGTCGTACCATGATCGGATATGGGTCGCATAGGGTCCAAAAAATCGGATTTGATGCGCTTTCGCCTGCAGTGTGAAAGTAGCCTTTGTCACACTTAAACTGTCTCCTCCTCCTGGTTTTAGCTCCTTCCTTCAGGGAGTCACCACCAAGAATCATATTGATCTCATACCATGCCTATCATCTTCCTCTGTTACACCAATCCTCTGCATGTCCTCCTTCATTAAATCCATGACTTCTTTGTGGTATTCCTTTCTCCTGCCTAGCAACTCTATCTTCAATATATTTTGTCCAATTTCCCCACCATCCGTCCTCTGCACATGTCAAAACCATCTCAGCTTTGATTTTTGAACTTGCTATTATCTGGTGAACCTTCCCTTTCACTCCTGTTGCTATTCTTTTGTCACAAATCACCCCTGACACTTGTCTACACCCTACCTGCACTCTCTTCTTCATCCCTCTTGTGTATTTCCCCATTGCTTTTGATGATTAAACTCATCTATCTTCACTACTTCTACTCCTTCTCATTCACACACGTTCTGTCTTGCTTTTGCGGTCTTTAATTCCTCTTCTCTCCAAAGCATCTCCGAAGCATACTTCCACCTCTCCAGGCTTTCTTCCAGCTGGGGGGGTATTCCTAGTGCCAATCAGTGTAAAGTTTTGCCAGATCAAATATTGGTTAACAATGGTTAAAACATCTGAACACTACATAATTCCTCTGACCCTTCTTTTCATCAATGTCATCATCTGTAGTCATTTGGTCTTTTATCTCACTCACACTCCTAATGTGCTGGCGTCCACGACTGCACTCAAATATTAGCAAATATGTGGCTGCTTTAGTGCGGATTGTAGTCTGTCAAAATGTGGGTGGAATGAGTTCTATAGATTTTCCATTGAAGTCAATGTACAACAGTTACAGTCAATATGCAGAATCAAGGAAAGCCATTTTATAATTATTTATTTATTTTTAGAGTTTTATCACTCAGTCCTTCTCATTTTGTCTGCAAACTGTAAATGAATACAGCTGCTTTCCTTAAAACTCTATCTGTGTAGTTTTCTATGCTTACGAATGAAAGCACAGATTGGGGTCGGAGAGAGGTGGGGGGAGAAAAAGAACTAGGCACGTTATCTCATTGTTTCAAAAATTGCTGGAATGTAGCTGGACTCTGATTACAATAGTGGTCCGTGGCCTTGGTTACAGGAAGGGGATTTAGGTGGCGTCTCATGCGGTCTTGGTGACAAAAGGCAAAAGGCAGCCAGTGTGTGAAGAGCAATGAGGCGACATTGGCGGGTGGGTGTGTGTGGTGTGAGGGAATTTGAGTGTGAGAAAGAAATGTCTGTCCTATACTGACTGTTACTAAAGGTACAATATGATACTCTTTAACCACAAATACAATCCCATGCACCTTCGTCTCTATATTACCACCATATTAGTGTGTCATTAGTGTGAACCTGCATGGATGGCTAGCAGTGACCTGGGCTGAGTTTAACAAGGGGGCACTATTTGGTAATTTAAGAACTTTACATGAAATTAGTATATTTTCATTTTTGATGTATATTGCTGTCCTTGGTTTGGTGTTAAACTTCATTTAAAATGATCTTAGAACTAATAAAAGTAGTTAAACTTACCTTCTTTATCTGTTGACTAGAGCAGGGCGATATGACCAAAAATATTTATCACGATATACATTTGAAAATTTGCGATAACGATATAACTGATTATATAAAAGAGGTTATACACACACAATACGGTAATATTATGTTGAAGCACAGTACGTATCACTCCGCGAGGCTCCTGCCGTAATGCTCCGACAATCCATCAAGCAGTGCGGCTTCATAGCTTAGCAAAGTCGTACTAAAACATTTGACAGATTTTCGAGCGCCGTGTACCACATAAAATCGTTTCGAGGTCAGTAAACACAACCAGAATTCATAAATAAGGCACGC